AGAGAGGGGGTCCCTTAGGTAACCTGGTCCCATGCCATGTAGGGCTTCAAAGGTGATAACCAACATCTTGAACTGGACCCAGAAACAAACTGGTACCCAATGCAGCTCGTGGAGGGCCTGGATGGGGAACAACAGGGTTCTTACCAGCCGAAGCCTGTTGTTCCCCATCCAGACCCTTACAGCCTCCAGGCACTGCGAAAGGGCAGCCACGGCATCACTTACTTCACCTGGGATGGAGATGTATAAGAAGCCACATCAGCTTCTGGGGTCCTCATCTGTTGAGTAATGGTGCAGTTGCAGAATTAGCACCAGCATTCATTAATTCTATTACTTCATCAGTCATATAGTACAGCTACCTGTTTGACTCTCTGAATTAAAAGACAGTTTAATCTGTTTGAAAAAGCATTTTTCTCTCTGCTGATGGGTGAGGGTGGTACTGCATCCATTGTTTTATCCGCATAAAGAGAAATAATTGATTCAGATGGAAAATCCACATTATTAGCTGCTAAAGCTGTACTCTCAAAATTTAAAGCTTTTTACCAATGCTGTCATAAAGCATGCTAATAATAACCTCCTTGAGGTCAACAGTACTTATTGGGGGGTTAACAGAGTTGTACTGCACATTTTCAGTGCAAGATTCAGAACACTTAAATGTTTCACTTTCTTAAGTAGATCTGTAATTTGAAAAGCCATGAGTATTTTAAACAACGCACGCTAATTTTAATCTGTTGAATCCACTGATAGCCACTATAGTTTGATTAAAATGTCCCTAAATTGTTTATCTCTGCTTACATATTGTGATGATAGCATAAAAGTAATCTTGGTTCACTTTTGTAATGAATGCCCATGTTTCCAAAACTGGTTCATGCTGTAGACATGTTTTAAGAATGATAGTTCAGTTTTTAATATAACGCATGAATGGCTACAGCATCAGACTTCACCCAAAAGGCAATTGAGGCCTGCAGTTTTACAGGAATTCGAGAACTTCTGAAAGTGCTTCTGAAAAAAAAATTGGGAAGCTATAACAAAAGAATTCTAGTGACTGCTGACTTTCAAGAACAAGCCCCGTGTGTGGAAACAGGATTAAAATCCTTCTGCACCCTTTTCTTTCTCACAGGATGTAAAGGCTGTCAGGCCTCTCTTCTGCACTAGAATACCATTTCCATCTGTCCCTTATTTTGGGAACAGTCAAACCTGCTATCATATAGGTTTCAACTGACTGTGTGAACGCTAGCTCTCACATATAGGATGAATTCTCTCTTGGAATTTCTAATTTAATTACCAGTTCATAGTTAACCACTGTACTACATTTCTGAGATGAGGGACTCCTAGCATGAGATCAGCTCACAAGAGCTGAGAAGAATGTTTTGGAATGTGCCTTGCAAATGTCATCCAGAAGGCTTTAAACAAGAGTGGGGGTGGGAGAAAACAGAATAGAAAATAGTGCAAAACCAAGTTTGGGGTATAGGACTGGAAGGTTTATACAGGACGTGGAGGTATCCAGTAATGGGTATATAAATAGGTAAAGGATAGGTAAATTATATCACCCAAGGATTCCAAGAAGTACCCAAGAATTACCCCAGGTTCAGTGCAAATTCACACAATATCAGGAACAAACAGGCAGAACTAAAAATCTTAGGAAGGCAAATATGATTTAGTAGTATTACAGGAACCTGGTAAGACAAAACTCTTCAGTACACCACTTGAGACCTCTAGCTTGACACAAAGCCACTTGTTTGGTACAGTTGTTCCACCAGCTCTGTTCTATCTAATTATACTCCAGCCTCATTTTGCCATCTTCTCCACTAGGATCAAATGGGAGTTAGACAACCATTGAGGTATTTAAACATAGGCTAGATAGCCATCTGTTGAGATTGCTGTAATACTAGTTTCTTGCACTGGGCTGGAGGCTGGGCTAGATCATCTTCAAGGGCCCTTCCAACCTTACATTCTATGATTTTGTGATTTCACTGCTGAAAAATATTGAGTAGTCTGCAACCACTGGTATCTTTAGCAAAAAAAAAAAAAAAAATGAAAGAGTTGTATAGATGAGCAAGATTAGATCCTTTTGATCTTTAATTCAATGGATTTTTAAGTGTCCTCCTCCTCATAAGTGTGTGCTCCTGACTCCTTAAGGATCAAAGTAGTAGAACATATGCTTTATATGTAGGAAGTGTCAGTTCAAGCTTGAAGAGTGCCTGTCAATCAATTTGGATAATGAGGATCTAGGACCATTCATCAGTTTCCACAGAAGTCAATGCTTTGTATTCTTCTAAAATGGGATGGAGGTAAAAGTGTCTTTGTCCTTCTTTGGAGACCAGCATAAGGGGTTTGATGGATATCTGACTAATATGCATTCTGTAGGTTTGAAAAGCACGCTCTCCTTTTGTTCAGCAGCATTCAAAACATGTCAGGAAAAGAAAGAGAATAGGACCTGTAAAGGAAAGCTTTTTTTTTTCTTCCCTTGGAATGCCCCATATAATCTGTTTGAGCTTGGGATCTTTTGCACCTGGCACATATGCTTTTTCATTGAGCTATATTCTTTCCCAAACTGTATGAATCTTCAGACTAGATATTGCTATTGCACTGTTCTTTGAGCATTTCAGGCACCAAAGATTTCTAGTTTTGAACTGTTTACCTAGATAGAGTTCTGGTAATTCAGCAAGTATAAGGTAACCAATTTCTATTTGAGATGGTACTAAGTGCTCATACCAAGTGTTTCTCACTTTTTTCTTTCAGTGTTTGGAAGTTCCTTCTTATGTAGCTAAAAATGACAATTTCTAGAATTTGTAGCTTTTCCCAACGTTAAGGGTGTTTTACAGTTACAGTCCATGAATGCTGGGGAATATAGGACCAATGCATGTAAATCCTAGTAGGAAATGTATACTTGGATGCGTGGAAGACTTTTCTCCATGCAGCATATCTTGAAAAGAAGATGTTTAATGTATAGGGAAGGAAAAAGGTGACTGAGAAGTAGAAATTACTTTTACTACTACTACTACTACTACTACTACTTCTTCCTCTTCCTCCAGTTTGACTTCTGTGAATGGGACTGTGTGGACTATTGAATTGCAGCTTGACTTCACTATCCATGCTAACTCAAAGAAACCACTGTTATTAATTATTATTCTGCTTCAGACAAATAGGGTTATATATGTGCTGTGATTCCATAGGGGCACAGAGAAATGATATGATATGGAATGAAAGAGGTTCCAGCTTTCCTAAAAATGTGTCCCTTTTTCCCTTCCTCCATATAGGCAGCTTCCTAGCCCTTCCAGCTATGACTGAAATTGGAAATATGGGCAAATATGCTGTAGGTGAGGGTAGGGTTCCAAATGTCAGGATTTTCTTTCTCATGGGAAAGGATTCATCCCGTTATCTTTACAACAATAAC